CTCAGGGGTTGGCGGAGAGAGGGAGATGGAGACATGGGAATGCTGAGCCATGGAGGGGTTGGAATGGGGATGGAATAGGGGATGCAATAGGGGATGGAATGGGGATGGAATGGGGATGGAACGGGGATGGAACTGGGATGGAACTGGGATGGAACTGGGATGGAACTGGGATGGAACGGGGATGGAATAGGGGATGGAAGGGGGATGGAATAGGGGATGGAATAGGGGATGGAACGGGGATGGAACTGGGATGGAACTGGGATGGAACGGGGATGGAATAGGGGATGGAAGGGGGATGGAATAGGGGATGGAATAGGGGATGGAACGGGGATGGAACTGGGATGGAACTGGGATGGAACGGGGATGGAATAGGGGATGGAAGGGGGATGGAAGGGGGATGGAACGGGGATGGAATGGGGATGGAATGGGGATGGAACGGGGATGGAACGGGGATGGAATAGGGGATGGAATGGGGATGGAACGGGGATGGAACGGGGATGGAACGGGGATGGAATAGGGGATGGAATGGGGATGGAACTGGGATGGAACGGGGATGGAATAGGGGATGGAAGGGGGATGGAATAGGGATGGAATAGGGGCTGGAACAGGGATGGCACAGGGATAGAACAGGGATGGAATGGGGATGTAGTAATGGAACAGTGCAGGGGTGCATGGATGGGATGGAACATGGATACACGGATGGGATGGAACATGGATACACGGATGGGATGGAACATGGATACACGGATGGGATGGAACATGGATACACGGATGGGATGGCACAGGGACGGATTGATGGGATAGAACCTGGATGCACCGATAGGATGGCACAGGGATATCTGGATGGGATGGCACATGGATTCACTGATGGGATGGAATGTGGCTACGCCTCTGGAATGGCGCAGGGATTCACTGATGGGATGGAACGTGGCTACGCCTCTGGAATGGCGCAGGGATTCACTGATGGGATGGAACGTGGCTACACCTCACACGGATTCACTGCAGGAGAGCCTTGGAGAAGGCCTGTGAGGGCAGATTTATCCTGTGGGAATCCCAGCTGGCAGCGCCGCTCCCACCCTCCCGCTCCAGCTGCCCGTGGCATTCCACAACCGGCACGAGCCGCCGGATTCCGGTTACCTACGGACGCCCTCCGGGCTCCTCCCTCTCTCCAGGGCACTTCCCAAACTTCTCTTGTCCATGTGGGTCCCTTCCAGCCGAGGACATTCCGTGTCCTCTGGAGATGCCCCGAACACCTCGACCACGGCACTCCCGGCTCTGGGGAGACGCAGAATACGCGGAATATTCGGGATCCATGCCGGATGCGCAGGCGCAATTCCCGCGGCGCGGCTCTCCGCGCACAAGTGGCCGTCGGTGCATCCCGACGGCAGCTGGGGCGCCAATTAACGGGAGTGCACGCGGAATCGAGGTAATTACTGCCACAAATTGGCCGTGTGATTGCGCGGGCATCCCTGGGATATTCCCAGCTTTTCCCAAGCCAGGCTTCCAGAAACTCCAATAGATTCCAAGTTCTGCTGGAAATTATCCGCCCATCTGGCTGGGCCTGCGGAGAGCGGCTGTTTATGGGGAGACAAATGAAACAGCAGCTCTTGATCGATGGTTTAATCATTGGAAGGGAGGGAAAGGCGATGGATTTTCCCAAGGATTGACCCAGGATCCAGAGAGTAATGGCGGGTTTAATTAAGCAGGGAATAATCAGCTTTTGCTCCAGAAGTATCCACTAAAACCGGCCCTGGATACACCAGGAGAAGGCGTCTGCTGGATCATGGCTGTGCTGAGAGGAGCCACGGGTTTAAATAAGCCTGGATTAATTATTAAGCCTGGCTTGCCTCCATTTCCAATGGCAAAAAACCTGGGAAGGGCTGGAGGAGTTTGTGGCCTCGCCTTTTCCAGGGATTTTCCATGCCCGGAGCTTTGTCCCCTTCCTGCTCCTCGCTCCTGTGGGTCACATCCAGCTCCATGGAAGCGCCAGGGGAATCCCAGTGATCCCAGAGCTGGAAATCCATGGCATCCGGGATGGGATTGATGGGATGGGATCAGTGGGATGGGATGGGAGCAGCGGGATGGGATGGGATTGATGGGATGGGATTGATGGGATGGGATGGGATTGATGGGATGGGATTGATGGGATGGGATGGGACAGGATGGGATTGATGGGATGGGATCAGTGGGATGGGATGGGATTGATGGGATGGGAGATGGAAATCCCTGACCTCAGCACCCAGATGTTTCCCAAAGCTCATCTGGCTCCCGGGAGCCGCTGGATCCATCCCGCACCTGGAGCAGAGCAGGATCCACCCCCTCCAGCACCGGGAACAACCGGGATGTGCCAGGAGGAGCCTTTGGACTAAAATCTTTCCCCTTTTATTCCTTTTTTGCTTGATTCCATGTCCAAAATTCCAGCATTTACAGCACTTTTTGTGCTCCTTAACGGGAGCCCGGCTTTTTTTAGGGATTATATCAAAATCCATATTTATGAGACGAGCAGGGATCAAGGACAGGGAGATTTAAAAGATCCAATTATCTTCCCAAAGTTTGCCTTTATGTTCATCCTAACGAATCCAATGTTTTCCAGGCGGATAATTGCCTTTCCCAGCATTCCTGGCTCATCAGAATTCCAACATTCCCTGGTTTTGAATTTAAAAGGAGCCTGTGCCTCCTGCTTGGGTCTCCAAGGAATTCCAGAGGAGGAATTTTTTTGTCCTGTACAGGAATGGTTCCAAAACATTCCAAAACATTCCAAAACATTCCCACCGGATTGCTGGGATGGGAAAATCCAGAACGTGGGATTGGGAGGGGAAAAGCGGGAGGAGGCAGAGGTTTGATAGGACCTGCTGCCACGGGAGAGATCAGGAAGAAATTCCCTAAATAAAGTTGGGAATTCAGCCAGGAACTGGGCAATTCCAAGGATAAATCCCACAGTTCTTGGAGCAGCAGCTCCGTGCCCTGCCTGGGCATTCCCAAACCCCACGGAATATTTTGGGATCGTTATCCTTTGGGATTCCCATCAGGAGAAAGATCCCAAAGTCTCCCAAACTCCTGCCGAGGGCGTTCCCAAGTCCTTCCACGGCTCCGTGGGATTGGGACCTGGAAGGGCTGAGCTGCACCATTCCCAAGGAAAAGCAGGATTTCCCAAGGAAAAGCAGGATTTTCCAAGGAAAAGCAGGATTTCCCAAGGAAAAGCAGGATTTTCCAAGGAAGAGTAGGATTTTCCAAGGAAGAGTAGGATATCCTGAGGAAGCAGCAATTTTTTCTCTATTTTTAAATCCTGGCTCTTCCATGGAGATCCAACCCTGCCGAAATTCCAACCTCTCCACCCGGCCTCCGGATCAGCATTCCTGGCAAAACAACAATCCCAAAAAAACCCCAAACCCTTGGGCTGAACTTTAATTGGATTTTCCAGCGGGTTATTGGGAAATGGTTCCAATCAAGGAATAAATTGGGATCGGGATCAAATATTCCATAAATATTTACACGGGGCCTGGCTCCGCTTGAAAAGCCGGGATTTTTCCCTCTCGGAAGCGCTGCCAAAGGGAAAAGCGAGGTCTCGGAGTCACTTTGTTCCCACCGAGGAATGACCAGGAGGGGCTTTCCCCCCAAATTCCAGCTGGAAATATTCCAGGTGCATCCCAGGTAAATCTCGGGATCCAAACGGGACGAGGAGAGGGAGCGGAGGAGGGGGAATCTCCAAATCCGCAATCCCGAGGAATTTACGGGATGTGGGGGGTGGGGCAGGGATCCAGCTCCGTCCAACCCGGATCCGGATCCAAAGGAACCACCCGGTTCCGTGGGATGAGGCCGTAACTGGGCACGGATCAGGGAATTTCCCAGGAATATTCCATCTGGGAGCGGGTCATAGCTTGGAATCCCCGTGAGCCATCACTGCCGAAATTCCAGGATTAAACAGGGATCGGGGAGATTTTTCCCGCTTTTCCAGATAAAAGAAGGAGGCAGGGTGGAAAAAACGAGGCTGGATAAATGGGAAGGGTTAGGAAAACACTCCTAGGGATGAGGAATCCATGAAATATTCCATGGATGAATCGGATCCCAGGGAAGCAGAGCTGGAGAGAGATTGGGATGCTCAGGGGTCAGGGCAAGGCAGAGGAATGGGAACGGGCTGGGAATGGGATAGGATTGGGATGGGAATGAGCTGGGAATGGGATGGGAATGGGCTGGGAATTGGCTGGGAATGGGCTGGGAATGGGATAGGATTGGGATGGGAATGAGCTGGGAATGGGATGAGAATGGGATGGGAATGGGCTGGGAATTGGCTGGGAATGGGCTGGGAATGAGCTGGGAATGGGCTGGGAATGGGCTGGGAATGGGCTGGGAATGGGCTGGGAATGGGGAAGCTGTCCAAGGAAGGCTTCCCAAGGTTTGCATCCCTGGAAAAGGCGGATGGGAATGCTGGTGCCACACTGACACCTCGTGGAGAAAACGCTCGTTGCAATCCCGGCGCTCCAGGGCCGGATTTTTGGGATCAGTTTTCGGTGGGAATTGGAGGATAAAACAGTGCCCGGCCCGAGCAGATCCCGGGATTTAACATCCCAAAATCCCGCCTCCGATCCCGGCTTTCCGCAGAGCCG